GATTCGTGCAGCAGCACTCCGGATAATAATTTTAAAAGCCGCTTTCCCTTGTATTCACATCTTTCTCCATTACATATACATATCTTATTAGATGTTTTGGTGTGTAGTATCGCTGTAGAGTTGTGCCGTATTTTGACGAGCCCGAAAGGCGAGTCAAAATACAAACACCGAGTAAAAATATATAGAGGACATTGTACGGTGGCGAGAAGATGTGAATTCTATGTTCTCGTGACAAGAACATAAAATTCATATCTTCGGGCTAACGTGTAATGTTCTTTATATTATATTGACACCTATAAAAATACTGATGGCGGTGTTTTTGACGATTTCCGAAGATTTCCGACCACCTTCCGAAGATTTCCGAAAATTATCCAAAACTTGTCCGAAGGTGACACGAACGTTGCCAAACATTTTTCGAAAATTTACGAAGATTACCGAAGATTTCTGAAGATTACGGCTGATGTTCGAACCCGGGGGGACTCCTATATAAAAAGGTCGAGGATGCTCGTCATCTCGGGTACAAATCAAGGATTCTTGCCCCACTTAGGGTGTTGATGACGAAACGTCACCATTTTTAGCTGTCAAAGTATCCTTTAGGGTGCAGTCGAGGAAATAATAATAAAAGAAACGCTCTCATTTAATTTCTGTTTTCAGGCTTGATTTCCGGTGATCTCTCGAGTACGTGAGTCGGGTCTACAAGTGCTCGCGGGATCCTTTTTCGAACAGTGGCTGGTGATCGAACCTATTCCGTTTTAAGTGGTATCTTTTAGGGGTCTAATGAAGCTCAAGCAACGTCCACATTAGTCTCCCTTAGGAGTTCAATTCAAATTTTCCGACGAGCATCCCCTGCCTTTTCATATGGGAGTTCCCCTCCCCCGGGTTTCCAAATGTCTAACGGGAATTGAGCCAGTGAAGGAGTGAAGGAGTGATGGAGCGAAATCGTTCCACCACTACAACTTGGAAAATAATAAATATTTTTCAAGTTAAAAATTAGATTATTCGCTCTCGATTTCTATGCGCGATAGTTGACTCGGGCTGTGCCCTCGTCAACTATCACGCGATAGAAATCGAGAGCGA